TGTACATTTAAAAAAATTTTTTTAAGAGAACAACTCCACATCATCTTTCATTTATACAGAATGAGCTTATTTAGCAAAGGACACACTGAGATCAGAGTATCTATGGTCCAGGAGACAAGGCAGGGAGGTGACAGGCTTTCTGACACCCTTTTGGGGAAGAAGGAGTCTGGGACAAAGTGGTGAGAAGTACTGGGTCAGTTTGAAGTGGTGAGGTTCACAGAAGGAGAAAGCTCCAGTTGGGTCAACACTGTTGGCAGGTCGTGGGTGGACCACTGCTAACTTTTATGGGAGACTCAGTTAACGCTGGAGGGACAGCCACCCTCTGGTTCCTGGAGGGCATCCACCAAGGAACACGGGAAGGAACCCTCGGATGGTAGGACGTGTATATAAATGTATATACTTATTATGTATCTTCATTTTTGTCTACATACATACTTATTATTTTATGTGACTTCTAATTATCTGTTGCTTTTAAAGAAAGTCATTTAATGTCTCGATAATCTCGGTCCAGTCTGTCAAATGAGGCTGACAATAACTATTTCACAGATTTTAGTAAAAATTAAGTATATACATAATATATTAACTACAGAATTATATTTGGTACATTAAAAATATGTAACTTTTGTATATGTTAAAATCTATATTACATATTAATATTTGTATATAAAAATTTGGTTCACTGTATGTATATACATGACACAAGTAGAATTCTGGAAAATTCTGAAGTTGATACGATATTTGGTTTGTGACTTCGAAAACGTCACATGGATCTCTTATCAAACAGTAGCAGAAGAATCAATTTTTTCTTTCACATTCACAGTCTTCTGCGATCAGTGAATGTAGCAGAAAGAAGCACTCGGGAGAACCATGCAAGGGAAAGAAAAGGAACTGACATTCTACTCTTCTAGGTTCTTGGTTGAGACATGCTTGTAATTAAAAGACAGATTCGCAAGAGAAAAAAAGCAAAATATGATAACATGTATATTTCCTGTATACGTGAGAGGTACTCAGGAAAGCTGAGTAACTCCCTCAAATGGCCCGTCATCCCCTTAAATACCATCTCTAGCTGAAGACAAAGATGTTGGGAACGGGGAGAGCGAGTTATGGGAGGTTATCAAGCAGAGAGGACAGTAAACAAGGGGACTGTTGGTACTCAGATTTATGTCCCTACCTTCACCATTGGTAAGTTTCTAAGAGATTTAGCCGAACTCTTCTTCCTGGTACAGGGATGGAGACGCCCTTAGAAATGAGGTGCCCCTTATAAATGTGAGTAGGTTTCACAAAAGAGTAACTTCCACTCAGTTTTGAGCTGCTTCTGTGGCGGCTGTTTCTTAAAAATAATCAGCCTAAAATAATTCTTATGCCAAAGAGGCATATTTTGGGATGGCGAATTATGCTCCCCTTCAACAAGTGTGTGTCATTCCAGCAAAGACCACTTGTACGTAAGCTGTGGAAAGCCTGTCTTGGAATGGCTCAGGAAGCCGTGAAGGTGAGAAGTAGCCACGACCCCAGTGACATAATATTTACAAGAAAGGTCAAGACTCTAAATTCAATCCTAATGTTGTTTCAATTTGAGCAGAAATCCTTAACATGAAGCAAATTTTAACATGTGTGGAACACAGACCTTTATCATTAAATATTCTGTAGTTCAATTACTTTGAGGGGATATCTACTCTAGACTGAGTCTAAGACATCAGAGACATTTATGTAACGAATTTAACCTAAAAGATAATTTTTAAATTTCTGTCTACACTCCAGATGTTTTGTGTAGAGGGTGGTGGGCAGCTGGATTCTGAGACATATTGGGCGATAAGTATTTTTCCTTTTTTCCCAGAGAGGTGTTTGCCTCAGAGTAGATTATTTGAAATGATATATCTGTAAAAAAGCAATTAAATATGCTGAGGAAGAGATTTTTCTTTTTCTAACAAAACCAAGTGGAGCATTTGGAAAGATAGGAAATCACAAGTTTGTATGGTTCAGGAATCATACAAGGTTAGCAAGATTCCCAGATGATCCCCAGGATAGCATTGTAGATTAGGTGCCAGTTCAGATAATTTTGAGTTTCAGAAATTAACTATTCCACACATAAGAAGAAATATTAGCCATTAAAATCCTCAGTCCAATGCTTGATATTCCTCCTTGTTTTACTCTTATATAGACACAATCTAATGAATTCAGCCAGTTTAATGACAGGGTTAATTATTCTTTGGAGTTATATAAAGGAAAAGTCAATTAAATGTTTTGTTTTCTGGTTTTTTTTTTTTAAATTTCCCTTCAACCTTCTAGGTGGTTCTACTACCACTATTTACCCAAAAAGCCTTTTTTCAAGTTGCTCCTAGGATCCCACACTTTTCCAGTCACTTGTTGTCCTCCAGGACCAGCTTTGGAGATCAAAGCTTCTATTTCCATCCAGCTCTACTCAGCCATTCAAATGGCTTTTCCCCTCCATGGGGTTGCAGCCAACTGAAACTCTGATCACGTTCTCTGCACCAAACTGCAATGACTCCATCTCTGACATTACTGAGAACATGTGAAAATCCTTCAACTGGAGAGTTTACATGACACAGAGCTCCCATGATTTAGACCTGCTTAAAAAGCACATCTAAGCTTGTGCTGAGAATGGAAAATTAAAATGTATCTGTAAGGGTTACTTGACACTGGAGAAGAAAAGGTGGGACTGTTGCAACAAGAAAATATGTTAAATATGATACTACTATGAAAAATAAAATTGCACATTTTGGGTTAAAATAAGACTACTGGAGATAAAATATATAAGAATGCCCTTATCTGTTTAGTTATCAAGTTGTCTACTCAGATGGATTTCAGTAGGAAGGAAAGGCCTATTTCCCTATGTCTTGAATAGATTTTAATCCACAGGTTTCATAAATGGTGGGAGTATGAGAATGATACTTTCTATTAATAAGCAACTATACATTCTCTAATTTCTGAAACAAAATCAGAGCTACACACAACATTCAATAGGAAAAGAGGTGTGCGAATTTTAATTCAAAGCACTGTTTTTCCAGTATTCCACCAAGATGTCTTACACATAAGCCATTTCTAGTAAAAGGGCCCTCTTCTGAGAAAGCTGCTTAATCGAACACTCTTAAAGAACATACATTCTATTCTTTTAGTAAAGGAGGAAGGTGTGAAAAGTGCTGGGAGAATTAAGCAGGCCCCTCTCTCTACTTAGAAACTCCAAAGAGAGGCTTTAACTACTTGCTTTGCTTGGGTCTCCTCTTTATCAGAAACCTGCGTCTCCTATTACCTACCCTAGAGAACAGAGAACCAGAGCGGTGATCTAGAAATTTTCAATAAAATAAAATGATAGTTTCAACTCCCCATCCCTTTTATCTTTCATTCTTACAACCACTACCTAAGAGTGTCAACTCCCAGGACAACCTTTGGGCAATGGCTTGATTTCTTCTATAGCTAGTTTTGCTTTTCTTTTCTTTTCTTTTCTTTCTTTTTTTTTTTTTTTTGAGGTAGGGTGTTGGGACTAATTACTTAGTACCTTTACTTACAAAGT